ACCCTTCTAGCTAACTGACCACCGATTTTCATTGCAATTTATGTAAGTTAAGTTAGGTTTTGAGAGTTTTCAAAAACAGTTATATACATACACATTTTGTGGGACACGCTGTATATTGTAAAATTCGACTGCGCGACAGACCACACAATTTAATATCCAACTTTTTACCTCTGAAATATAGCTAACGGATTTTCTAATGTTGCTAGCTTAGTTGCTAAATGTTTCTAGAACTGCTAAGTAAGCAAAAATGAAATAAATTGTAAGCGTTAGATAATTCATATCACGAAAACAGCTGAATGTTGTCAAGCTTTATGGTATCAAAATTGGAGTCCTCTGACGGGAGCGTTTTACACAATCTGCACAAATTAATTTTGAACTTCGAACCATTCACTTTTTGACACCCTATCACTGTTGGCTATGTTTCATCTTACAACAGCTACATAGAGGCAGTATTTAGTCAAACGTTACAATGTACGCATCAATATTAAACTAATTGGGACACTAATTTTCATTACAGATATCAAACAAAAAACGTGAGTACACTTTCAGTTATTGTGAAAACTTTCATCATCACCTTTCAATGCCTTAGCTTTGAAATGTAAATGTTTATACATATTCAGATTGAACTATCTTTCTAAGATGTGTATAGTATGCCAAGTTATTTAGCGAAATGTATTTACCACCACAGCATGAAGAAAGTCAAGAGGAAGTAGTGGAGTGAGGTGGACATGTTCCATGCCATGGAGGACTGCGGGGCAGGGATGGCTATCCGCCAGGATGCCAAGGTTCGGCATCTTTTGTTTTTAGGAGATTATCACGTGAAGTTTTCTTTTCTTATCTACCAAGGTGCATGGTGTATCTCGGCAGACCCTGGCGGACAGGCTGAGCGGCCGGGTGACCAATGGTTGTTGCAGTGGACCACCCACATTGCTTGAAAATTCTCTGGTGCAGTACTGTATCTACTGCGCCAGCCATGGGCTCGCCTTCACTAGACAGAGGCTGATGAAATACGCCGACAAAATACCCAGGTATTTGGTGTTCTATGTGTTTATGTATGTAGAATGCTGGACTGACTGTTCTCAATGTGTGTGATGTAAATGTGGATGTGTAAGGTGATGCCAAAACAAACATTTTCATCCTGGATGGACAATTATATATTCTATTCTATTGTAGGTTTCGGCACGCAGGGGAAACAATCCCACCACTGGGGAAGAGGTGGTGGGAAATATTCAGGAGGAGGCACAAGAACCTGAGCATGAGGAGGCCGGACACCCTGGACAGGGGGAGAGCTGAGTGTGGCACGATGGACACCTCCGATGATGGACACCTTCTTCACTTCTTATGAGAAGCACTTGAGGAGAGTGGGTTGAGGGAGAAACCCAGACAAATCTATAACTGTGACGAGTCTGGGTTTCGTAGCGACCAGAGCAGGCACAAAGTGCTGGCTCCCCGGGGTGCAAAACACGTGTACCAGCAGGCTCCAGGGACCAAGGAGCACATCACAGTGCTGGCCTGCTTCAACGCAGCTGGGGAGGAAGTCCCCCTGTTTATCATCTACCCCAAGTGTTTCTCCGGTTGCCACTACCCACTGGGAGCCCCCCGCCCCCAAGCCTTGTATGGATGGTCAAACAGTGGCTACAAACAGTGGCTACATTGAAGGGGACCTGTTCAGCTAGTGGTTTCAGCACTTCATTAAGCATGCAGTGAAGGAGCGCCTTCTCCTCTTCGATGGGCACAAGAGCCACATGGACCCGGAGGTGCTCGCGGCGGCACTAATGGAAGGGGTTATACTTTGCACTTCCACAACACTTCCACAACACTGCACCCATGTCCCGGCCACACCATCATCAGCCCCTCAACCCCACCATTACAAACACCAGCTCCTCCAAGCCATTGTCGGCGGTTTCGTCCACCACCACCACGATGCACACCACCACCCCTGTCTGTCACCACCAACGCGGCCTCCTCTGGACCAACTGCCTCCTCCGTCTCCCCTGGTCACACCTCCATAGCAGCCTCGTCTGGTGTCCGTGCCCCCTGCAATTTGAATACAGCCACCTCCACAGGTAAACACATGTTAAATTACGAAAAAATGACAGTTTTATCTGTTTTATAAAACTGTAATGTTTAAACATTTTTTTCTCTCTTTATATATCTACAGTCCATAGCACCAGCCAAAACTTCTGCAGCTTCCTCCAAAGGTATTGATGTAAAAAAGTTGAAAAGGGTTTTCATGAAACATGCTCTGCCTAACACTATTTCTTCTCAAACTGCAGCACAGAAAAGGAAGCGAAAAGCTCCACCGGCCACCTCTGTCACGCCACCCATGGCACCACTCTCAGGTACTTCATAATCTGTTTTTCTCTCTCTGTTGTATAAATGACTATTGTTGTTGAAGAACTTCTACATTTTGCAAAACCATGTTAATCAATTTGGTGATGATGATTCTTTTAAATAAAAGAAGACATCCCCTGCTGTGCTCGCTGAGGGGAGCGTGATCCGCCTGCAAGCTCCCCTCAGGAGTGAGTCCGTGGTGCCATGGGTGTGCTGTGACTTCTGCCAGCACTGGTTCCACTGCAGGTGTGTGCAGTGGGATCCAGAGGTAGCGGTGGAGCTGGATTTCTATTGTGATTTTTGTGACAACATAGGGATGGGGGTCGAGATTTAATTGTTTGTTTTGTTTGTTTTCATATGAAATTATTTATTTGTAAAAAAAAACAAAAGCATGTCTAAAATTATTCAACCCATCTTGTGTATTTCTTCCTTTACTTTCCAAGTGCATCTCTGCAACACAAACTACAACAGTGTTTTCATTGTTTATGTCAATGCACATGACTGAAATTAGTTTTATTTAATGTAAATTATTTATACTCATTTATATTTTAGTATTAAACTGTTATCTACTTTCTCAAAACATAAGATTAACCTGTAAAACAAATTAGAAGACACTATTTGGTTACAACACTGAATATGTTAATGAATAACCATTTTTTAAGAGTCCACAGGAGGGCGCACCGGGCTACGCAATGAAAAGTTGACAGGCAAATAAATAAGGCTAGTCAACTATTTAGTAAACACTTTGGATACGAGGTTGGTGTCTCTTTTTTTGAACAAAATTAAACGTATATATCTTGTAATTGAACAAAATAGTAAGGTGGCCAATAACTGGGGACCGTATGCCGATAATACGGGACATATCTTTTTGCTAAACCGCTTATCAAATAGCTGATAATAGTAGTATTTCCACTGAAATGTCAAACATGCTAATTGCTAACCCGTTAGCTAACATTTTTACGACACCAATAATCACATAACATTGATGGCTTGATCACAAGATAACAATGTTGAAGGTAATATATTTCTTAAAGGCTGTTGAATATTTCCGATAATACGGGGTTCCACGCTAAGTGATGTGTGGTTATGCAAACTCATATCAGACTGAAATGTAACAAATAATAAAATAACAATTTTGGACCATAAAAAGATTTGGGGCTGGACCAAAAACATCGACGCCAATGGCTGTGTGTCGTAGTTAAAGTGCAACCCATTCATTTGATAAGGCATTTGTACTCATAAAAAAGCCACACAACACAGGAGTATACGAAGTATATAACCAAGTGTATTTCCCCTCTGTCAATGTACTGTACACATATTAAGATTCATTTCACAGGAACACTTTACAATATAATTGAGTTAGGACAGGAATATACTCGGAGCAGTTTATGTTAAATGGCACTTCATAAAAAAATAAGATGAAATCACAGAAATGGAAAATGTTAACATAATACAACAGACAGAATGGCAACAACAAAATGTTTTTCATTTTACATAAAATGAAGAAATGAAACAAAAAAAGAGTGCACATCATCCTTTGTGTTTTCTCTTGATACATTTACATACAATCACTAACCTGGCCTTAATGGAAATGTAATGTTATTCAACATTAAAAAAAGAAAATACTTACAATGGGTCTCTAGTCAGAAAATGGTGTCTCATCATAGACAAAATGCTCCCTTTCATCTGGATCGGATTAAAAGGCAACATAAAAAACTGAACTGCAGGAATGGTAACAAGAGAAACACAGAAGTATCTGAGAAATAGCTATACAATTCACAAACCTTCAATAATTCATCTCACAGAATAGTATTTTATTCATGGGTAGAAAAACCAGAATACATGTTTGGTTAGCTTTCAAAGGAAACACAGTATTTATCTCTCAAAGAGATGTTTCTACTGGTTGTGCCTTTCCAGTTTTTTTGTGTGCCAATTTTGAAGAAGGAAAGAGAAAAACAGCCTCTTGACACAAGGTTGGGCATGATCCCCCTCCCACAGGAACCTCCAGAAAAAGTTACTCAAATGTGACTGTGTCCTGCAGCTCCCTTTCATATTCACTGTCTCTACTTTCCTCATAGGGGAACTGGCTGGAGTGTTGACAGTGGTAACCGTGGGGGCAGAACATCTCTCACATGAAGTATAGTCTGTTCCCCGTGTACTCCAACAAACACAGAAGCAATGCTTTTTCAATCCCAAGACATCTATACATACAAATATGTTTACAGAGCAATGTCTTTGCTACAGTAGCGTTTTGCTAAGTTAAGTTTGAGGAACTTGTTCCTGGATGGAATGAATTTGTAGATTTGTTGCTCTCTCCTCACACAGAGATGAGAGAATCCAGCTCATCTCATCCATCCAGATAGAGGGTTTGTTGGCTAAATTCGGCCGTAAATTGGTGTATTCCCTTTGAAAAACTGTATTTTCCAAAAGGAAAGAAATACATCATGCTTGAAACATGGTTCAATGATATTGGACCATTAACATAGCACCATGGACAACCAGAGAGATAGACTGAGTGGAAAGTAGTTTTATGTGGGATAACACAAAATGTGGTAGGCTAGTCTGTAGAGAAGGTGGGTCACCCAATCTCCAGGTATGGGTATGGCTTCAGTTTAATCTAGTAAGCTCTACTGGGTTGCTCTGTCCTTAACGACCATAATGACCTTTCAGTACACACTGATACCGCTGATGTCATTACAAAGACATAGGGACTTGAGATAGAGCATGATGAACTGACATTCATGCAAACCTGTTTCTATAGTACAATGGTCTAAGCTCAGTTTTTACTGTGAACCATAACCATACAGTTGATAGATAGTGGTGCTATATACAAAGACAGCAAAATGGATATGCTTCTTATCCTGTATGAAATGGTATGTTAACCAATACAATATTTGGTATGCGATAAAAATTCTGAAAGCATAATTTAACAGGAATACTGATGGCAAGTTGGATTTTTTGTAATTTTTTTGTGCCACAAATGTAACAATTACACCCTACATTTTGGATATTTATCTAGAGGATCATGTGGAAGTGAAGTTCATTGGGAGAACCTCCTTTCCATGATTTTCCTCTATCCCAGTGTATCCCAACAGTCCTCGAGTACCCCCAACAGCACACATCTTTGTTGTTGCCCCGAACAAACTCACCTGATTCAACTGATTGAGGGCTTGAAGATTAGTTGACAAGTTGAATCAGGTGTGGTTGTCCGGGGTACTCGAGGAGTTGGGAAACCCTGCTCTAGCCTATCTCTCTCGTTCTCTCGTTCTCTATCCCCTCTCTTAGACGTAATACTCTTTGTCTTTGTTCTTCTTGCCCTTGGTTACTGTCTTCGCTACTGCAGCCGTTGTTGTGCTTGGTGTCTTCTCTAGTTTGACCACGGCCCCGTTGCCCTCGGCAACTGGGTTGCTGATGAAGTTGTGTCCCTGGTCCGTCTGGTAGGCGCCCTCGTCACGGTTGCGGTACTTGTACATGGCGTAGAGGAGGATGAGAATGCAGAGGGCTGCAGCTGCCACAATACCAACCACCATCCCTGTGGTGCTACTGGACTCTCCGATCCTATCCACCAGGCCGGGGTGCATGACCTTCTCACCGGGGGCTGTAGGGTCGGCTGTGGGCACATGGGGGAAATTGGGGGGGTAAGTTAGTCCTGGTGTATACCGGGATGACGGAGGGGCAGGGGGCAGAAGCACCTGGTCACGGGTGTTCATTTTGCCCGCGGGGATGTGGAGCTGGTCAGGGTTGGTGGTGGGAGTAGAAGGAGGGGGGCGGGGATTGTGGGGTTTCTGTGCCCCGCCCTCACCGACGGCGGGGGGAGGAGGAGGAGGCAGGACTGTCCTGTCAGTGACCAGAGGGGAGTTTTTGTAAAAGTCCTCATCATCTGATTCCGTCATCTCCCCAGAACCGAAGGCCGAGACCTCCACAGGGTCACCGCAGTCCTCCTGATCCGGGGGGCAGGGAGGGTGAGGGTTGGACAGCATCAGGGACTCTTTGGTGGTCTCAAGTGGGGACAGGGAGGTGGGAGGAGGGGGGATAGCAGGGTAACGGGTGGCGATGGATGGGGGCTCAAGGGAATCCACTGTTATTATAGGCAACACTAATTCACCTCCTAGAAAAGAAAAAGAGGGTAGGAGAAACACACATTAGAGGAGCATTAGGAGACCCCAGACACGAATAATGAACAATTGTGCTCATTACATTACAAACACAATGTGCTCATTATGTAGCTAGAATGTTCCAAATAACCTAATATTACGCCCTGTAGGGGTAAGATAATTAATATGGAAGATATTTAACTATACATTATTATCAATAATATGGATTTGCTTACAAGTTCACATTTCTGGACTTCTCTTTATCAAAAAAGACAGCAAACCATGGGATAAGGTCACTTACGTACATCAACATATTGCCACATGATTTTTGCATGAAGAGAAAAACAAATTCAAAACAGCTGCATAACATTGATATAAATCCTTCATTATTTTAATTTGCAGTTGTAGGCGGTTGTGTGCATGCCAGTAACAAGATTTGTTAGTTTACTAAGGTTGAACATCTTTAATGTTCATAGAAACATAACCACAAGTCTTCTAACCATCCTCAAGCCACCTCAATAAACAGACTAAATATCAAGGTTAGAAGACAATGAAAACAAGCCAAGGGCGCCATTCACCTAATTCTACTGACAGTGTTATTGATAAAAGGGAGTGTCAGGGAGGGGCAAGAGGAGAGGTGGAGAGAGAAGGATCATGACAATGACCGTTTATCTGGATAAACTGTGACATCTTACAGGACAAATTGGCGACAAGTAAGGCCAATCATCTATCATGATCTAATGTCGCTTCTGAAACTCTTGAAACATTTGCATGAAAACAAGCCTTTTATCACACAGACAAGTAAGAGAAAACGACTCCTTCGTACATCACAGGAGGTTGGTGGCACCTTAATTGGGGAGGACGGACTCGTGGTAATGGCTGGAGCGGAATGAGTGGAATGGTATCAAATGCATCAAACGCATGGTTTCCAGGTGTTTGATGCCATTCCATTTGCTCCTTTACAGCCATTATTATGAGCTGTCCTCCCCTCAGCAGCCTCCTGTGTTGTACATGTAATACATTTCATGAGTAACCCTAGTCATGAATGTGACTCTACTATGAAGCCCTACTGCATTGCATGATTTGGTGAGCTAAAGACTAGAAAGTAGAAGAGGAAATGTTCCTCTGCCTATCTCAGAGCCAGGTGTGCCACAGATCTGTCCAACCCTACTCCTGACCTTCACTATAATGGGCTTTCAGACATTTGTGTCTTTTCAGCCTTACTTTGACAGCTCACACTGGCAGGGCCAGGCAGGCAGTAGTGAAATATGGAGCCTTTCTGAAAAGGTCAGATCAGTGATAGCTGTAGGAATATTAAGATCAGTCATCCACACACACCCAGGCCAGAGGCTTCTATGAACTTGATATTATGAGCACTGCCTCCGACAACCAACTGCAGGCCTACATGAAGATCCCAGCTGTTTCCCCCATTTGTTTTTTATTTTGTTTAGGGTAGTGTACAGGATAGTATGAGATCTTCTAATCTGGATATAAGATCTTGCTAGCTAGTGGCAGTAATGAAATCTCCCCTAACAGCGAGTTCAAAGCAGAGGTAGTAGCTGATGACAAGACAAGCATTAAGGACAGACAAAATTACAACTTTGAAAGTAGCGATAAGGCTAGATCAAGGCCCATAAGATTTTATCCATGAGCTCATTAAAACGAACCTATTAGTCCCTAGTGTAGGAAGACAGTAGGTGATCATAGGAGGTCCTGAACTGAACTGAACCCCAGGCCAGGGCTGACAGACAGACTCACCTGTTCCAGGCTCACACTCCTCCAGGTCCTCGTCATCACTGGGACACTCTGCAGAAGCCACCAAGATGTCATCTGAGTTCTGAGACTGAGAGGAAGAGGACACAACGTTGGTGCTTTGTAATCTATACATTATTAAATCTTTAAAAGTCTTAGTTGTCGATGTCGAACATTAATAAAACAGTAATACAAAGTTATTCCCCCCAAAAAGCCTTGTAAGTGAAACTTCATTATTTGAGAATAATTCAGAAAAACGAAGGCTGGAATATTGGACTCCTTGCTGTTTCCACCAGATCAATAGTAGACAACAAATTCCTAATGGGCCAGGATTCAATTTCACAGTGCTAGTTTCATGATGCAATGATTGTGCTCAAACAGAAGCATCTCTTTTTTCTTTCCTAATACCTCCTGTACCTATACATAAATTAATACCCCAGACATAATAATAATAATATGCCATTTAGCAGACACTTTTATCCAAAGCGACTTACAGTCAAGCATGCAACATTTTTGTGTATGGGTGGTCCCGGGGATCGAACCCACTATCTTGGCGTTACAAGCGCCGTGCTCTACCAGCTGAGCTACAGATGACCACCCATACACATATACAGAAGCTATATAAATATCATATACAGTGAGCTCCAAAAGTATTGGGACAGTGACATTTTTTGTTGCTGTTTTGAAATGATTCAATGACTATGAGGTTAAAGTGCAGACTGTCAGCTTTTATGAGGGTATTTCCATTTACATCGGGTCAACGGTTTAGAAATTACAACTCTTTTTGTACACAGTCCCCCCATTTTATGGGACCAAAAGTATTGGGACAAATGCACTTATATGTGTATTCAAGTAGTAAAACGTTTAAGCTGACAGTCTGCACTTTAACCTCATACTCATTGTATCATTTCAAATCCAAAGGGCTGGAATACAGAGCCAAAACAACAAAACATTTGTCACTCTCCCAATACTTTTGGAGCTCACTGTAGTTTGATCCAGAGATTACGCGAATGTATCAGTTTGTCCTCACATGTCAAGGCACAGAAACCTCATGATAAATCATATCTGCACATGTTTGATATGAGACACCACTATTTGACAGCTCTCACATACAGTACATTCATCATTGGCCTGCCCTGAGCTCTTCTCAAAGAATATTCCATCAAACTGTCATCACAGTTTCTAAGGCAATGTTTTCAATTCAAACGTGTATTCAACTGTCACAGTGTATTATTTATCTATATAAAATATCAAAACAATAGACATACTGAAATATTTTCAAGAGAAAGGCAGTGTCAGTAAATGTAGAAAGAAATGTAGTTACTACAAGCAGGTGTAGCCAACCCTAAAGCTGTCTGCCATTATGACCTTCAGAAAGATCATTGAAATTCAACAAGGGCTTGAGAAATCTAGTCTATGTAAATCTATGCTAATGACCTAGATTTACATAGACAGGGAAGTTTGACATTGGAAGTAAGCAGTTAGGCCATGATTGACATCAATTTATCTCCTTCATTATCGTATGGACAAGCCTAATCAACTTATTTAGCTGGAGGAAGGAGCCTTTGGCCCACCATACTGTATCAATGTATTTACAGTGTTCGGAACTTGACATGCTTACTGGGCCAAGGCTATTACAGAGTACTGTCATCCATCAAATATGCTTTAAGACATTTGGAGGCATGGTTAGTGTATGAAAAGGTATCAAAGCTTTGTTTTTTCACAATAAAGCTTTAGCAAATGTGATCAGAACAATTGCTTGGCCGTTTGAAAACCGTAGGACGATAAAAGAGTTGTCTTGTCTGGCGCTTATGTCTTGCTCTCTAATCCACACATAACAAATAACAGCATTGTTGTGGCGTTTTGATTCTCTAATTAAAATATGCCGTATTACTGCATATTAGATCTGCCTGACTGCATTCATAAAGCAATTACTCCCTCGCTTCCTGTGTTTGTGTATACAGCGCCTGTAGTTTCATAAGCAAGTTTATTGTTTATGGTGGAACTGTAGGTATTATTCATTTGGTTTGTTTCGTAATTTATGACATGACACCATGACAAATGTTCAGCTCAGATACACAAAACACTTTCAATGAAAACCACTGCCTGAAAAAGTGATTACAGTATCTTATATCCCACTACTGTTGTCTAATGGAGGGAGTTAGCTGACTGTGAGAATGATTGAGCTTGTGTTGTTCAGTAGCACATGTTCAAAGGAGGAGCCATGCTATCTTATGAGGAACCTAGAAAGTAGAGGAGGATAAATCATAATCACAACAGAAGAGAGAGGATTGCCAAGTGAATACACAGGTGTTTGTCTCTCCTAATCAGAGTGTTAGACAAAAAATTACTTTGAATATAACTGAAACTTGTACTGTTTAATATTTTGATAACCTTTATCTCCAAGTGACTAATGTTGTTTTAAATATTTAGACAGCCCATGAGCATAAATTATGTTTTCATTTGTTGAAAGGGCAAGCTTGGTAGTTAGCCACATTCTGCTGGGAGCCTAATAAGAGCAGCTCTGAGGTGGTCTCTCCGTAACCCCCCCTATCACTCTGCTGGTCTCCCTAGGGCTATTTATATTCAGTAGACTGGATTAAAGCCAGTCCAAGGTTCTACGTGGGGTTGAATTGAGGTTCATCAACATTCATGCAAATTACTAACGGATCGCTGGATATGGAAATAGGCAGTTTAGCCATGACTGGCATAAATTGTTATTGAGTGTGACCTTCCTTCATCTCTTGATCAACAAAGTCGAAGGCTGAGAAAAAAGGTTTAATCCAAGAAATGGGGGGCGTATTAAAGGATGGTCCCTTGACAACTTACACTGAATGTGGTGGGGCCTTTTGAGTGGATCTATATGCCCACAGGCAGCCTAATACATATGCAAGTCAGTGTAGAAAAGGAAATGTAGCTCTAGCTGCTAAAAACCCTGTAAATCTAGCTTTTGTGGGATTTCCTGCTTTGTAGCTGAAACAAATTAAAGAGTGCATCACGCCGCTGAGGGAGTTTTAAAAACAGCACAATGACTGCTGTTTTTTTAGCTGGTGTGCACTGTGACCATGACATTGAAAAGGCATCATACAAACACAAATGGAACTGAATTAATTTCCCCAACGAGAGAGACAATCTTTTAGGTTTGAATGAGAGCTTAATAAACCAGAAAAACACTTTCAATAGAGAGCTAACTTATGTTCAAATACGTGTCTAGGACCAGTGCTTTGTCTGTGTTCCCTTATTGAAAACCTCTTGGTTTTAATGAGTAATTACTGCCTCTTATTGGCAGAGGCATGCAGCATGGTTATGTTGAAAATGTGCAAAGGAATTGAGAGAGAGAGGGAGATTGTTCCTGAGAAAGTGCTCTTTAAGGGCTGTTTTAATTTGTCTGCCTGATGAGTGGCTAAACGAGCAATAATGTGGATGGAGTGTCAGTCTCATGCAGCCAACCTCCTGATAATGGACACACTGTCTGTCTGGCAGAGTGCTTTCCCAAAACCTTGCCATCTAAACGGTTACTTATGCTGTCTGTCTAATGCCTTCAGCCCTAACACTAGCTCACCCACAGTCCAATACCATACGTACAGCTCCTTATAGTACAATGTTAAAACCAGGATTACTGAATGAGGGACAGTTAACATACTGATAAAATGGCTAGTCTTAGTTATCAGTCATCATTACATCACCTCTTGCACCATTGGTCACTAATAACGTTCAACGTGGCCCTAGTACCCTGCCCCACATGCCCCCACCCGGCCCTCCCTCTGACCTGGGAGATGCTCTCCCTCATGCTGGGGGAGCGTTGCCTGCGGGTGGTGGTGGTGGCCATGGTGGTGGTGGTCTCCATGATGGTGGTGGACATGTCGGAGGCCGCCAGTGGGGTGGTGGAGATGGTCTCAGTGGTCAAGACAGACATGGAGTCTCCCACCAGCCTCAGGTTCCCCTCGGCCTGGACACTGGGGTCACTCTCTGCCGCCAGTGTCAGCACCTGCAGGCCGTTATAGTAGAAGCCAGAGATCTGGCCCTGAAACGGCCGGCCCTTATCCTGACCCCCAATCTTTATCGCTGCCTGGCTGTTGAAGATGGTCAGCTGTCGTCCTGTAGTGAGGTAAAGGAAGAGGAGGAAGAGAGATAGACATAGAGAGAAAGAGAGAGACACAAACAGGCAGACATCAAATTACAGTATGAGTTATACCATGCTAGATACCCAGAAGGTCCTTGGCAACAGATATGGAACTTAGCACAACAAGTTAAATGATGGAAGTATATGTTAAGAGCTTGTCTGGAATGTTCGTATATTTATATTTAGTCATCGTACTGGTCACATATATATTCCCCCAATATATTCTGAGGGTAAGATGTGGTTAGTTTGAATGTTATATTGGTAAAGTATTTTCAATTGGTTAGTGTTTAAAATCAGAGTTAGGGAATTGGCTCAATCTTGGTCATAGGGTCAAAAAAATTGCTTTTCAAATCGGTTAAGTCTTTGCGAGAGGGGATGATGGCACAATAATGCGTATCATTTTACTTACATTTCGCTATCAGTGTGTTTACATAGAGTAATGGGAGAAAATAGTGTCATGGGAAATTGTAAGCACATTACTTTCCTCCATTAAGCACAGGAAGTCGTTTCTCTGAATTGATGGACAACTAGGGACAGGGCATTTCCCCTTCATCCTCTCAGTCAGAAGCTGGCGGAACAATCAGCATTGCTCCTCTGGGACCAACTGTACTGTGTGGACTGACTTCCTCTGGTGGAAGGGAAGTGTTTTCTCCCTCCCTCCCTCCCTCCCTCCCTGGGGTTATCGAACTCCACCACTGACAGCAGCAGAAGCAGCACTGACAAGCACTGCTACTGTTACATCACCCAGTGAGTTCAGCATGTTGAGAGAGGGTAATGTAATATGCCAATCTCAGGAATATTCTACTTAACTATGTAGCTGAGTGTTGCAGTGACAGTAATCTACTAGTCTGTCAGGGTCTGACCCCCTTTGTCCCTGAACATGGTTGCCTAGTATAGTGGTGTTTAGTGGGGTCACATTAGTGTGGTGTTTTTAGCATGGCCAATAAACAACAGCGTGGACTATACATGATTAGAGAATTTAGAGAGACCAGGATGTGAATTCAAACGGAAGGTTTATTGTGAGATACTAACACCTTGTTGCAAGAACCACAAACATTAGATGAAATGCTCTATGTTCCATTACCAGCAAATTATTCCAGTTGTTTAACAGGTTAGTTATCACTTTAAATATGTTTATGTCACAAGAAGAATAAACAGATAACAACAAGTAAAGAAAATCAGCAGCATCTAATTAAACACAGCAATTGGAGGGACGTTGTTGGAGGGTTAGTCAGGGGTTATGTTTAGTTAATTGGTTTTAAAATCTCTGAAGAGGTGCAGCATCCCCAGATGGTCTGGGGATTGCAAAGGATACCGGGTAGATGTACTGTTACCCATTTGGTATATTTTTTAGAATGGTACTAAATGAGACGAGGTACGTTGCTCGAAATGGCTGAGATGGCTGTTTGAGTATATATCTATGTTCCCATCCTAGTCACCCAACATGTAGCTCTACACCATACATAGGTAACAGCATTTGATCCTTTGTCTCTTGGCACTGCACCTCTTACAGGGATTTAACTGGATTTAGTAACTGTTTAATGGATTTATTCATTTTTTGGTTTACCTTTGTCGAGTAGCCACTCGTCAACTACCCGACCAAGTCGGTATGGGATTCTTTGTCTAGCAATAGCCAGGCGCTCATTATCAAAGTTCCCTTCAAAGAATTTGGAGAGACAGATTAGAGGTTAAAGTCTGGAAGTTGAAAGATCACAAGGTTAGAGACAGGGCATCATGGCTAACACGTTTAGCAAGTTATCAATTTTAACCCAGCTTCAGGTTAAAAGAAACTTGTGCTTTACTTAGTGGTATTTAGTTAAGGGACAGTAACAAATGGTACATTAGTTAGAATGGTGTTTAGTTCTATTTATAAAGTACTGAGCTGGTTCATTTAGGGGGAATGGTGTAATCAAAGCATCAGGGCTTAAATGCAAACAAAATAGAAGAAGAGATTTAACTATAATTGGTAGAAAACAGCAAGGAATCAACAATGCATGCATTTGAAAGATAACATCAATTTAGAAGCATGAACACAGCATGAGTAAATACCAGGAAGACATTTTCTGGTTGTTATCATCTCAATGGAAGGACATTACTATGGTGATGATGACTGCTATGGGAAGTAGCCTAGCAGGGTTCGTTATTCTTGACGAAAGTGATTAATGATATCATGAAAATGTTATACACAGACATTTCAATCAATTGTTGTTATTTACTCTGAACAGATATACTGTATACGTACAGTATAAACAGTCTATTAAGCGTGATAAATGATTACTTTAGTGATGTAAATTATACAGACCTGAAGTAGATTTTTATTTATTTATTGAGGACATTCTATTGTGAACAAATCAAAGGCTCCCAAGGTTAAGGATATGACTCTATCTACTGCTAGGCATTGCTTTAATGAGATAATTCATTTTCTCCCTTGTCTGTGTGACTGTGGATGACATGCCTTGTATCAGACTCAAAATGAACTAACGAACCAAGAGAAGGACCACAATGGCATCTGAACATTCTCTGTGACAATTCTCATCTAGCTCACAGCACTCATTTCCACTCCTCTCCTTCTTTCACATACTGTTACAGTAATGTTGTGATTGGGCCAATTACTGACTGGTTTAGTGCCCCATTGGTGGAGTGCTAGAGTGGATGATGCAGCCATTATAAAATTAAAATAACCACTCCACTTGATAGAAAGCTTGACTGTACTGGAACCAAACCACTGCTGTAGCATAGTAACGTACAGCTAATCCTACCATGGTCCTCTACACTTACCATAAAGATACAGTACAACAAAATGCCTGTGCCAAATATGGGCATACAACTGATTGTGTGACTAGACAAGACTTATTATAGTCAGATTATGTATTGAATATGAAGAAAGTGGAGAGGGAGAGAGTTCTCTGTCATTGAGAACAATACCTTTACTAAAGTAGGTAGAGAATAGCTGAACCGCCACTATCAACTACAATCTAGAAAATAAAATGAGCAATTTTGGATAATTCTTTATTGTTTGTTTGGTCAGTGTGAGTGGAGAAGAAACAGATAATTAGATACTACATGAATCATAAGGATGCAATGTAAAAATTATTTTTGATTTGATTTGTTAGCTAGCATGGAGGAGAGACAGAAGACTTAGCGACGAGGAGCAGACGCCAGAATGTTCTGAGAGCTACACACCTCTTCCTCCTCCCCCTTTCACACCACACACACACACATCCTCAGTGCTCTCATATAAAAGCTAATTTTACAGGCAGGGGGAAAATAAAATGAGAGCTGAGATTTGGCTGAGGGGTCCTTCATTGCTCCGAGGCTTCGAGGCCAAGCTGGCTGCTACAATTACTGTGAAGAATCCAAATCCATCCTCTGCTGGATGTACTCGGCAAGGCAGCTTGAGGGAAATGTGTCCATTTCAGATTGTTATTAGATTGTTTATGCAGTAGTTATCTGGGCCCGCCATGTGGCGACTCCATAAAGTGCTCTGAATACATATAATAGTGAAATGGCACATATCAAAACCGAAAGCTGGGGCGTGCTGAAGAAAACAAATCAATTTACTCTGTGACAGAAGGCACATTTCCAATTCCATTTGGACTTGCTTGCCAAGAGCATTCAAAAACTGTCCCTTAATTTATGTGATATTTTGTTTGATGGCTTGAGCTGGAATCACCATGCACCTTCTTCCATGTCTGTGTTGTCAAAATACAGCCTGGATATCTCTCTCCCTCCTCCTCATCCTCCCTCCCTCCCTCTTTCTTTTAATGTCTACTTATCTGCCACTCCCACTCCCACCCATCCCCTCCATTTCAAAGTGTCCTGTCTCATGCCTTACCTGGCGGGTACCGCTCCACCGGCTGGTTGTCCACCTGGAGGGTGGCGTTGCCACCACTGCGTGTGAAGCGCACAACATGGTACTTGCCATCGCTAACTATGACAGCCGGCTCGTCAATGGTGATGTCATCTGTCCCCACGTTGAAGATCACACCAATCTTTCCTTGTTCCTGGAGATGGAAGAAAGAGAAGAGATGTTTGACTTGGGGTGTCTGAAGGGAAAATACAAGCGAGAAATTCACAATACTTTGACAGTAGTGGCAGCTGCTATACCACTGGTGAGTAAGACATTGCCATTGTTTTTGTTGTTACAGAGCTGCAGGTGTGGAAGTAACCTTGGTTGAGAAGCCCAGAGTTATCCTCTGTGACATGGGCAGTATGTTAGACTAGTGCGTCTCTATCTGTTCCATTCACCACATGCTTCCCTCTGCGGTCTGCATCCCAGCTCAGGCTCCCTGATGTGGCTCACTGTTGACACGACCCTGCTGCTTCTCTTCTACCTGACCTGACCTTACCCACACCTCTCACTGCATCTTCTCTCACACCTGGAATCTCCATGACAGGTCAAAGTCACTTCCTCAGTCTGCCTCTGCTAGGAAACTGGGCTGGGGAGCCGTACACTACCGTGTGTGTGGGCGCTCTGTGCCGACCAGGCTTTGCACGTCTGCAGCCCCTGTGATGGGACTACAAGGTCACAGTGCTAATGTGGCAGTGTGAGAGCAGACTCACTTCCCTGAAGACCAGATCAGTGGTCTGACAGCTTCAACAATATTCCATCCCAGTTTGTAGGGTGACACCCAAGCTTACTTCACACATCATTTGGTACTGTCAGTAATTTGGGTAGTGGTATTGTGTCTTAATGAAGACGACAAGCATCTGCCAGGTTCATAGCAGGTAGCTCGGGAATTGATTCCCACACAGCCATTTGATGAGCAGAACCAAAATCATGAGGCGTGATAAGGAGTTGATCCATCAGTGTAGACATCTGAAAGGGCAAACTGCCAAGAGGTTGTCACCGATGATGAGAGAATATGGGTCCTCTCACCTCTCTGGGTCACCTAAACCACTTCAGTCACTTTCTCAGGAGTAATTAGGACAAAGCTAGAGGAGCATTACAGCCACCAGGAAATTATACTCATATCCTGTCCATCCATATACTGTAGTGTGATGATGGTAATCTGTTATCAGTTATCTAGTTAAGATCTTGTCTAGTTATTTGATTACTTATCTTTTTTATTAACACATATGGGATTTGCACAGAGGTAGCACCAATCCATCATATCAGTGTTCTGAACTGACAGAACCTTGGAGTGACCCCACGACTGCTACCACCCAAACAGTACAACCAGTCAGTGTGTCCTCCTCCTCTGCCTTCTCCCCGTAGTTAAATATTATACTGAACAAAAATATGTAAAGTGTTGGTCCCGTGTTTCATGAACTGAAATAAAATATGGCAGAAATGTTCCACACGCACAAAAAGCTTAATTGTCTCAAATTTTGTGCACAAATTGGTTTACATCCCTGTTAGTGAGCATTTCTCCTTTGCCAAGATAATTCATCCACCTGACAGATGTGGCATATCAAGAAGCTGATTAAACAGCATGATCATTACACAGGTGCACCTTGTACTTGGGACAATAAAAGGCCACTCTGAAACGTGCAGTTTTGTCACACAACACAATGCCACAGATGTCTCAAGTTTTAAGGGAGCGTGCAATTGGCATGCTGACTGCAGGAATGTCCACCAGAGCTGTTGCCAGAGAATTTAATGTTCATTTCTCAACAATAAGCTGCCTCCAATGTCATTTTAGAGAATTTGTAGCTCAGTTGGTAGAGCATGGCATTTGCAATGCCAGGGGTGTGGGTTCGATTCCCACGGGGGGCCAGTATGAAAATGTATGCACTCACTAACTATAAGTCACTCTGGATAAGAGCGTCTGCTAAATGATGTAAATGTAAATGTGGCAGTGCGTCCAACCGGCCTCACAACTGCAGACCACGTGTAACCACGCCAACCCAGGACCTCCACATCCGGCTTCTTCACCTGTAGGATCATCTTAGACCAGCCAACCGGACAGCTGATGAAAGTGAGGAGTATTTATGTCTGTAATAAAGCCCTTTTGTGGGGAGAAACTCAGTCTAATTGGCTTGGCCTGGCTCCCCAGTGGGTGGGCCTATGCCCTCCCAGGCCCACCCATGGCTGCACCCCTTCCCAGTCATGTGAAATCCATAGATTAGGGACTAATTAATTTATTTCAATTGACTGATTTCCTTATATGAACTGTAACGCAGTAAAATTGTTGAAATTGTTGCATGTTGCGTTTACATTTTAGTCATTTAGCAGACAGTCTTATCCAGAGCGACTTACAGGAGCAATTAGGGTTAAGTGCCTTGCTCAAAGGCATATCGACAGATGTTTCACCTAGTCGGCTTGGGGATTCGAACCAGCGACCTTTCGGTTACTCGCCCAAAACTCTTAACCACTAGGTTACCTGCCACCAACAGTTGGTGCAGTAGCTAACTCCTCCATTTCCTTGGAGATAGCAGTTCAGTTTGGGGTCAAGAGCAAACTCCTTCAGTCTGCATTCCTCACATTAAGCCCTGTGATTTTTCCAGAATCCACAGTGCAGTAGGGGAAATGTATCTGAGCCCAGTGTTTCCAGATAAGACGAGCTCCTACTGTGCACCCTACATTTCTCATGCTGAAAGATCCCATTTTCCAATCACCAAGTGTGATGTTCACTGACCCCATCAGTTACTTTCATGGAAATACAGGGTGACATTTCTCCTGGTGCAGCAGGGACCTGGGCTGGGGAGCAGGGTGGGGGCTGGGGTGTGTACATGGAAAGGCAGAGCACTTGGCTATTAGGAAAGGTGAGGGAAAGGACATGTTCTTCTCCACTATTTACTGCCCTCCGGTTCACCCCGCGGCGCCTTAAAATAGCTTGCCCGATGAGCGGCTGCCTGTACCAGTCAAAGGCATGCCCGTGTAAGCCGTGAATAAAGTGCAGGCTCAGGGTGTCTCCCACTCTTAGGCCATGGTCACGGTCACTGGCCCAGCTGCTCATTGTGAGCTACTGTCCCCTCGCCACCACCTGGGTTATGTTCTTCTAATGTGCCATGCTGTTGCCAACACCTGTGTGTTCAGCCTGCTCCCAGCGCACTTTAGTTCACATTGCAGGGGGGACTGGATGGATGCAACTTTGCAACTATTTTAAATGAAGGCACTCTGTTATTTATCACTGTGACTGGGGAAGATTAAACATAGCTAAGAATAACAGTGACAGTGACACTCACTCCACACCGCAACTCCGCTACTGAATGTTGCTGAGCGAGGCCAGGGGTGTGTGGGTGGAGTACATTAAGAGCATAGCTATGAGAGCGTAGGCCCACTTTAGTGTGTTTGTGTGTGCGTAGGAGGGACCATAGTACATCTTAATATGAACATCATGTTTCTCTGTTTGTTGCATAGTGTAGAGTGGACCATTTCATGTTCTTAGAAAAAGTGAGGGTTTCAATCCAGTCTGCTCCTGTCTTGCCGGCAGTGGTTCAGTCCCAGGCAAAGCAGGTCCACTCCAGACTTCTCTCTGTCCCTCTGATGGTTCTCCTGGTCTTTATAAACCAGAATCTGGACAACTAGTGTCAGCTCTAACCCCTTTTAATCCTCCATGTCCTTTATTCTCACTGATTGAGACTCCATGTTGAAGCCAGACAACTGCTGGCTGTTGTTATCAGCAGTAGTAATATTAGAGAGAGCAGGACCATCAGTGCTGTAGGACTGTAATATCTGACAAATCCATCTAAGAGCCAGAGGAACCACCTGGAGGTAGAGAGTCTTCCTACCAGTCCCTGCACATTGGCGGGCTGCCGCAAGGCAAAGAAAGGCCTGCGATCCCTTCAAATTGTGGTCTTTGTGAATATTGCAGTGACTTGAGTCTCCCATGGCCTCAGGGCTAGGGCTGCAGCAAGCTCAGGACACAACTGCTCCTCACTTATTGTCCATGAAGCTAATCACATTCAGATGAGTGAACAGAGATGAATATCTTAGATTTCAGTCTTCACATCAACCCTCCTCCCACCCAAATGCAAATGCCAACAAACACCATATTAGAAGCCCAAATACATTATACTATGTTAAAAGTGCCACTGTGAAGCATCTGTTTTCAGAAAACATGTATTGCGATAGATATAAATGGAGCTACAGTACACTTATTCCACAAAGGAATGCAATCGTCACCTGAAAATTGGGTAAATTCCTAAATGAAAGTCTGCTTGCATATTGGAAATGAATATAAATGAAAACCAATTAACTAGCTTCCGTTCCAAAGGACTCATTCTACATTATAGAAACAACTATGCTGAGACATAACGAATATACAGCAGTGATGATTCCCTGATAACTTGGAATAGTACAGTATACATGCACCAAAAAGAGACGTTAAACATCAGATAGGATTTGGGTAGATTAGCAGAATTTTTTTAATCCCCAGCAATATTGCCTTTTTTGTTTATTGAGGAGCTTGAAAGTCACCTTTGCTTATTTCTCTTTGACATTCCCCCGTGCATAGCAGTGCTATTTTGCAGTCTCGCCCAAGGCTAAATTCTCATTGCCCTTGAGGCATGCCATGTAGAATTCATATAGCGGCCATGGGGCTCTCTGGACCTAAGTCAGCCCCAGCCAGCCCCCATCTCCGGACAGGACAGCCATAAATTATTGAGTGGCTGAGGCTCCAGGGCCGGGCCAGAGAAGAGGAGCTGAGCAAGTCCATTTGTCCTTCCTGATCACATCCAGGCCTGTTCGCTCTCTCGCTCTGCTGACTCAATAGCACAACACAGTCAACATGCTCTACAACACCTGCTTGACAGCTAACTTAGGGCAGCATCTTTCTCTGTTCTGGTAAATAAAGGCCTTCCAGGGTCTCTTTTTTCCAAACATTGTTAACATGGTCTGGCAGGTTCTGGCAGGAGAGGCCATTGTTAGCCTCCCACCCTGCTGTTGTGACAAGGACATTGGCGCTTGTGGGAGATTTTCCCAGCGTCTGGAACACAAAGACCCACTGACCAACCACTCTGTCTGGGTGCAGCTTCATGTTTCTACCTGCAGCTAGTCTTCTGCTCCATGGCACACACAGCACAGATGGCCAATGTCCTGATCGTAACATTTGGGCCAGTTTCAAAGGATAAAGTAGAGTAGTCATAATGCGAGCCTGAAGGGGAGGCATGTCTAAAATGTGAAACGTTTTTTTTCTCATCAAAATGCTTTTTTTTTTGCAGAAAAGCCTTCTTGAACATGTGAACTTTCATGTGCCTTAATAACAAACGAATCTGCAATCTGTAAATATAAATAAAATGTGAAATCACGAAGGTGTATATACACAGAGAAAATACAGAATCTTGCCTAGCCTTGATTGGTTGAGATAATGAGGGGGCGGGACATTCACGAGAAAGAGGGTCCATTCTGTCACTCAAAGCTTCTCTGTCAAATGGCACATCCTGCTCTCTGCTGTGCGGATATTTGAAAGATCCATTGGTATTACTATATTTTCATCATGGACTACATGCAAAGTGTAGCTACAGCTTTCAATACCAGTGGTGTCCTGAATATAGCTGCTAATATTGACACAGCTCTGTCTTCTGTGGCTAAAGCAGTCTGGACTGGTTGAAGCTGAGTGGGAAGGATTATTCTAAAAGTGTTTCAGTCTGCCATGAATCATCCTAATCCATACATCGGTAAGCATCTACAGTTAAAATGCCAAGATAGCTACATGTACATAGCTCAACTGTATCAAAAAGTCGTTTTCATTGCTATCTTTTGTTAGCTATATAGCTAGCAAGCTATAGTTAATCTGTGTCGTCTACAGTGGGAGCAAATGAAGCATAGTGGGCAGAATAAGCAAGGAGGTGGGCAAAGCCAAGCACGAGCTAGCGTGATCCTATTGGCACGTTGTAGCACGTATTTGCATATTTCCATTAGGGAACGCATCCTCTGTGAAGTCCGCGTGTGCACAAACTTAATTCGACCTTGCACTCCTTCTAAACCAAAGGGGGGCAAAATCTGGGCCTCCCGGGCACTTCAATCCGGCCTGCGAGAATTTTTAAACATTTATTAAATTTTATTATATTTCAGTTACGATTTTTGGCCTAAAATTACTCATTCCATGATATACAAACAACCTCCAATAGATGGCGCTGTAGCCTGGTAGCACGCTCTGTATTTGAGCCTACAGTCAGATTCAGAATGCACTCAGTCATCATAGCCACTTCATTGCTTGACGACTTTTGACGTGAAAAATGAGTGCTGCGGAAATGAGAAAAGTGGACTCTGAATGTCTTGTGTTTAAAGAAGAATGGACAGCAAAATACTTTTTTTTACTAATATTGGACATAATCTGTCCTCTCAGGAAAAGGCAAGGTAGGCCTCAAAACTTGCCACAAACTTAAAAGCCCAACAAAATACGTTTACTAAACGGTGCCCTACTCAAGACTCCGTCACTAAGGCAAGCTACGTAGTGGCACATAAAATCGCAAAGCATAGCAAGCCTTTTGCTGAAGGGGAGTTTGTGAAAGAGTGTATGGTGGAGACTGCTGGTATACTTTGTCCTGATAGGTGAGGAGCTAATCTCAGAGTTGAAGAAAAAAGCAGATGGCTTCGATCTTTTTTCTATAGCACTGGATGAGAGTGCTGAAATCAGAGACACCGCTAAACTTTTAATTTTTGTCAGAGGAATAAATGAGAACTTTGAAATAACAGAGGAACTTCTTGCGATGGAATCAATGATGGGAACAACCAGGGGCTCTGATTGATATGACAGGGTGTCTGCCTGCTTGGAAAAAATAAATCTACCGTGGAGCAAACTGAAAAACGTCACAGCAGATGGATCACCAAATCTAACCGGTAAATACATTGGCCTACTAAAAAGATTACAAGACAAAGTAAAAGAAGAAAGCCCTAACTCTGAGGAATTGATATTTCTTCACTGTATTATTCATCAGGAAGACCTGTGTAAAAGTGTGTTAAAGCTGGAAAATGTTGTCAAAGTGGTTGTAAAACGTATCAACTTTATACGGGCAATGGGGCTTAACCATCGTCAGTTCATTCAGCTGCTCAATGACAGCGAGGCAGAGCACCAGGACTTGTTGTACCATTCAAATGTGCACTGGCTAAGCCTGGGAAAAGTATTTCGCTGTGTGTGGGAACTGAGAGGGAAGATAGGTATGTTCCTTGATACGGTTGGTAAAGCTGACGACTTCTCCGAGCTGAAAGATACAGACTGGCTGGGTGACTTTGCTTTCGGTGTGGACATATTGGGGCATCTGAATGATCTAAATGTGAAACTGCAGGGAAATTGTGTTTTTGTGCATGAACTGTATTCCAACGTGAAAGCATTCAAGGCCAAACTTATGTTGTTCTCCAGACAAATGAGCAGCCGGTCTCTAGCTCATTTTCAAACACTGGCCGCACATATGTGGACCCGAATAAATACGCGTCCACATCGCAGTGCTGCACTGAGACATACAGTAGCACTTTGATCGACCTGCATGCTGAGTTTTCCTGCCGCTTCTCAGACTTCACCAAGATTGAGACTGAGCTGGAGCTTGTATCATGCCCCCTGTCTTTCGACAGTGAGAAAGCACCACCAGCCACACAATTGAAGCTCATCGACATCCAATGTGACAGTTCTTTGAAGGAGAAGTACAAAACAGCAACAACAGACCAGTTCTATGGCTCACTGAGTGAAACAAAGTTTCCAAACATTAAAAAGAACGCCCAAAGGATGCTTGTTTTATTCGGGTCCACATATGTGTGTGAACAAACGTTCTCAGTCATGAATTACCACAAATTCCATCACAGGTCAAATTTAACAAATGACCACTTGTCAGCTGTTCTGAGAATCTCTACATCAAAGATGACACCATACTTTGATGCCCTTGCCAAGAGAGGTGACCAAACCCATTGTTCACATTAAGACTCGAATAACTGACTGGGGTAGGGAAGGATTATGCTTTTTCATTGTGATGGTTATGCAGTGAGAATTATCCAGCAATGCACTTGGATACAGGTAATAAC